TCAAGAGGAGGTTAGATAGGCATCTGGCTGGGGTCATCTGAACCCAGCACTCTTTCCTGCCTATGCAGGGGGTTGGACTCGATGATCTATTGAGGTCCTTTCCTACCCTAACATCTATGAATCTATGACATTCTTGATTCTACTTCTTATTGTTACACCAAAGCTTTTCTGTTCTCTCTGGCCTAGAACCCATTTACAATTATCACCGTTTTATGGATTAATCCCAACATACCTAAAATCCTGATATACCAGTGCTTCTGTGATCACTACTTTTTTTTACATTTCTACCTTTCTAATAGTCACCAAGGAATGCCAGAGCAGTTTAAAGACTCCCTTTGGAAATAAAGTCACTGGCAAGTTCTGAGCTTTGAGATGCCATGAAGACCATACCCCAGAGATCTTGCAGTCTTGTTTACATGCTACATTCAATATCCAAGCCTTATAAATAGGGGGCAGCATGGCTTCATGGCACTCAGTAGGAGTCATCCTATATATACTCATTTCTGAATCCTAACATTTGCTTTTCATTGTGGATGGTGCAAACACGGGGTTTCCATTCTCTCTCTTTTTTTCTTCATTGGCTGTTTTTTGTTTGTTTGTTTTTTGTTTGTTTTGTACAGGCATGAAAAGCATTCTCACTGATTAAGAATGGAAAGCTGATGGGAACACTAGGTGTATTTCAATGGCATTGCTTATTTTTCATCCATTATAAAAGGTATGTTTGCTTTTGCGCTAAGAAAAAGTAAACAGCATATTGTGAAGCATCTTTATCAATGTTCATTTGTTCTTATGCCAACATGACTGGTTTTCACCCAGCAGTTCTCACACAGAAAAAAGCTCCCATTGACTGCAGCTGGGGTTCTTGCTGTATTGTAATAGAATCTCTTAGAGGTGTCGTCCAATCACAGTAGTCTCAATAACAGGACAATCCAAGTCAGACCTGAGTTTCTCTAGCTCTTTCTTCTGGTTTAAATGGGCAAAGTTATACCGCATTTGACCTGATCTAGGTTCAATATGTCGTCAAGGGAACCATGCTAATTGATTCCAGCTAATGATCAAAAAAATACAGATATTGGGAGCATCTGCATGAGACAGTGACTGTGCAGTAACTGAATAATACTGCGCAGTAGTGCATCATAGCACAGACAATGCTAATATGTTACTGTGCAGTATTAGGCTACTGTGCAATAGCATCACTTAAAAGACACTTGCTGGTGCTACTGTGCAGTAACTCTGATTACCGCACATTTACTTGCTTATACAAGTACTAAATAAATGCACAATAACTACTGCACAGTAGTGTCTTGTGTAGACATACTGACTGAGTAGGTATGTTATGGATGTGGCTGAGTTGTTGGGTAACATGTCTACTAGCTACTTTCACAAAGGGTTACATGATTTGCATGTAGTGACATCCCCACATGACACAAAAATGAAATTTTGCCCGATCTCAGTCAGAAACCATTTTCTTGTGAATACTTCTGAATATATCCACAGCTAAGACTGGATTTTTGCCATTCTCATGATCCCAAAATTTTATACACCAGGTTTTTGTTTTGAGTTTCCACAGTCAAGCACAATGAGCTCCACTGGGGTACATGACCCAAACGCCTAGGCATTAAAATGGTGGAGATGACAGTGTCATATTATTAGAATATATATGTTAGTGATACTTTATAACTGTACAGTTATTTGATTCCTTTGTATTTTTTTAAATAACCTTCCCAGGCATTTTTATCTTAACTGAAAGGTGAGTTTGTAAAACTTTGAATAAAACATTTTTTTTCATTTTGAGCCAGTTATTTTCACATCTTCCTATGTCAGTTATTATCTTTTATTTCTTCTTCTTTCCCCACTGTGTAATTTCTGGGGGAAAATGGTTTAATACTTTGGACCAAATATGTACAGTATACAATGTTCATTGAGCAGGCTTTCAAAATTATGCTGTGTATGTGTGTGTGATTTTGTAAGCTGTAAGCTTTAGTATATATCTACAATGCAAAATTATGCATGGTTATCACTACTGCAAAGTTCTTTTTACATACAGTCTACATATTGTTAAAATACAGCTGCTTTAGAAGCACAAGTACTGGGAAACATACCATGCCACCAACCAAGATTGCTCTTTCCTTCCTTTAAAACATTTGTTTTACAACTTCAGATTATTGTACATAGCATAGGATGGTACTAAAGAACAATTGCTTAGCAGCATTTAAGGGGGAAAAGTGCTTAAACTAGACCAGAATTCAGCACACCTCTGTAGCACATGCTTAACTTCAAGCATGTTCTTAACATCAATATACAATGGTAAAACATATAGGGTCACATGATTTAGCACACTGTGCTATTAAAGATAGGTAAAGAGGAATAATCAGAATGTTAGATGGGGAACTCTTATTTTTAGATAGCAACCACTCTTCTATTGCATTTGTGCATGGTGTTATTTTCCTCACTGACTTAACAACCTACCTCCTAGACTTCACCCACAAGCAAGCAAATGTGCACGTGAGATCTAAAGAAACAAACTGCATCCCTTTTCTCATCTTTAACTCATTTTCTCTGAAGAGTATAGTAGTCTAAGGGGCCTTTTCTCTCAGAAAACAAATTAGCAAAGGATTTTCGTCATGGGGGTGGCATTCAATTCTTTTATGGTTGTCTAAGCATCTAGATTTGGTTGGTAATATGGCTGAGTGCCAAAAATATCACTTACACACAGGTCAGAATTCAGTTCCTCTCTGTATAGGCCCTTGCACATGGATAATTATTTATAGACACAGACTGGACATATACACTGGCAACAAAGTGGTCGGCATGAGAGAGTCCTCTTACCTTTTCCCCCAAGAGTTTACTGGCAAGGGCATTCACCTGGGAAGCTGAAAGGAAAGGGTCTTTTGTTTTAGCTGAGGCTCTTGCTTCCAGTGAAGTGGAAGTTTTCCCTCTGCATTGACCTCTATTTTTCCCGGTGACTATTTTAATGGTTCAGCCTTGAAAGTCTGAAGGGAAAATCTGGAGTCTTTTTCCACCCTTGGCTCAGATTCCTCTCTGATTTTGGTTAAGATATTTCACTTTTCACTTTTAATTCTTCTGGACCCAGAATGTTAAATTAGTGGTGTATTCTGGCTGCACATGGCTGTGTGGAGTCTAAACTGGTCAAGGCTAATAAACATTGAGGATTCAGAAAACAATTTCCAAGTGCAAAATCAAAGTTACTATTATTATTATAATTTATCATCAGTTTAATACAATACACAAGCTATTTGAATGTGAGAACTATTATCAGCTTTTACATCATAGAAACACAGACAATTAGGGTTAGGAGGTACCTCAGAAGGTCATCTAGTCCAACTCCCTGCTCAAAGTAGGACCATTTTGGGTTGGGTTTTTCCTAAGGAAACTAACCCCAATCCTGCCAGAGGTAATAGTTTTTCCCAGTGCAGCAAGCTAAATTGAATCAATAGTGATATTAATTTCTTATTGCTTACTGTTTTATAAACCTCTTTCTAGATCAGGCGTTTTGCAAAAAAAAATGGGACAAAGAAACCAAACAACTGTGACAGAATTCATCCTAATTGGATTTTCCAATTTTTCAGACCTTCAGATTTTGCTGTTTGTCATATTTTCCATGTCATACATGGCCACCCTCGCAGGAAATATAATCATCATGACAATCATAAGGGTTAATCAGAATCTCCACATCCCCATGTATTTCTTCCTGTCTTTTCTTTCCTTCTCAGAGACTTGCTACACATTTGTTGTCATTCCCAATATGCTGGTAAACTTGTTAAGGGAAATTAAAACCATTTCATTCACTGGATGTGCTACCCAGATGTTTTTATTCCTTGGTTTTGGAATCACAAATTGTATGATTCTTACAGCAATGGGGTATGATCGCTACCTTGCAATATGCAAACCCCTGAACTACCATGCTCTCATGAGCCAAAGAGTCTGTACTCAGCTGGTAGCTTTTTCTGTAGTAACTGGTTTTGTTTTGTCCCTGGTGGAGACATTTTTTATTTTTAAATTACTGTTCTGTGGAATGAACAAGATTAATCACTTCTTTTGTGACATGGCTCCAGTCATTAAAATGGCATGCACAGAAAACAGCAGAATAGAAATAGTTATTTTCATCCTTTGCGTGTTGGTTGTATTTGGCTCATTTCTTTTAATCCTTCTTTCTTACATATTGTTTTTTAATACCATCCTGAAAATCCCCTCTGCAAAGGGGAAGCATAAAGCTTTCTCCACCTGTGCTTCCCGCCTCATTGTGTTGGTTGTGCACTTTGGCTGTGCTTCCATTACCTACTTAAGGCCCAAATCCACCTACTCCCTGGATGAGGACACCCTGATTTCTGTCAGTTACACAGTGGTGACTCCTTTATTAAACCCAATGGTTTACAGTCTGAGAAACAAGGACGTGCAAATGGCCATTCGCAAAGTCTTGGGCAGAAAACGCTTTATCCATTGAATACAGAGAGCTCTTGAGACAATTAAAGAGCCATCTCAACTTCCCTGATTACTCTGGGGCTGACCATCACCTGAATAAAGAGGTTTAGATCTATTGACTTGAAGTCCTTGGAAGGCAATGGAGATATGTGAACTGAAGCCAAGTGAGATCTGGTCCTCCAGTTTTGAATTTTAAATGCAATACAGGTGAAGGTTTGTATACATGCAGTGGTATCCAGGGACAGCAGATTGGAAGAGCTATCACTTTAGAGGTCGATATACACCAAGTAAACAAGAAGGAGCTAAGATGCTGAGTTTTCCTTTGGGGACAGCTGAACTTATGATTCATCATCTCTGTCTTGTCTTAGTGTTTGCTTGAATAATTCAGCAATAAATGTGATACCCCATGTTCTTCAACTACATAAAAATGGGGCTGAACATTTAAATGTCTCTCACTCCATATCATTATGAGATATAGGTACAGATAGTGTATATACCAGGTGTGAGCAAATTATGACCCACAGGCCAGATCCAGCAAGCCATGAGATTTTATCCAGCCTACACCAGGTCCCTTGGTGCTGCCCGGCTCAGGCACAAGGGGGAAGCCCAGGCTGTGGCGCATGCGGGTGGTCCTGCTGCCCCTGGGTACACAGTGGGCCTGGGGTGCCATGTCAGCTGGACTCTGCTTCCTAGAGGCCCCAGCAACAGCAGCTTCTTCTAGCTGCTGCTGCCAGTGTTGCCACCATGGCTAGAAACAGCCCTGCTGCCCAGGCACCCCAGCCCATCCACCCTGTACCCACTACCAGGGGTGCCAGACCAGCCCGGGACCCCAACGGCAGGGTACACTTGGCCAGGTTGATGGAAAGGGGCTGCAGCAGAGAGCAGCATCTGGGAATGGGATAGGCAGGCAGGGCTGGGAATAGGGCTGGGGCCAGAGATGGGGTTGGGGTTGGGATTACAAGGCAGTGAAGGCACAAGGCCCAGGTCTGAAGCAAAGCTGCAATCATGACCAGCCCAACCCAGTCATGATCTGTCAGGGCTGGCATGTGCTGCCAGGCTGTGCTGTTCCACAGCTAGACTGTACTGGGGCTGTGCACATGTGCCCGTGCTTGGGCAGGGGCAGTGGGGCTCGGGCCACAGGCATGTACTCTGCTGGTCACACCCTGTCATTGTGCTGGTCACAATCTGTCATGTGGGCAGCAGATGACAGCTCTGCCCTAGGCCCCAGCCCTGCACTATCACCACCCTGTAAACCTGATCCCAACCCCAGCCCTGGCCCCAACCACCCTCCTACAGCCCCATCCCATCTACCCAGCTGAGTGTGTCCTGCATGGGCCACTTAGCAAGTTTTGGCATGCAGTTGCAGGGGAGGGACAGGGGGTGGAAAGGTGATGCACTAAGCCTGTGCAGCAGGGGGGAGGGGAGGAGTGCTCCAAGCCTTGGTGGAGAATTCTGGCCAGGTATGTGAACCCCAGGGGGCCACTGGGAAGGTGGCAGACCAGGGTAAGCTTACAGCAAATAGGCCAAGGCCCCAGTTCAAGGTTACAGCCTGACATTACTCCCCACTCCCTCGAACAGACCCTTCTAGGAGGCACTGATCCAAGTTTCCCCTGGGTGGTCTTTATGGAATATCAGTACCAAATTGGGGAAGTAATTTTTTCTATGGGCTCCCATGTGTGGTCCTCTGGTCCATACCCCTCCCAGGCTATTAGATACTATAAATTCCCTCATATCTATTTTGAGTTCAGGATCTCTTTGACCAAGTATTCTTCCTGGACATACGCCATTACGGGTGGTGGAGGAGATTGGAAATTGGTGAGGGAGTGTGTCTTCTGTGTACAGCTTGAACAGGGACATGTGAAAAACCAGGTGGATTTTCAGTGTTTGGAGGACCTGCAATTCAAACGCAACCAGATTGATTTGTCCAGTAATAGGGAAGGAGCCAATGTACCTTAATCCATTTCTGCAAGTGCTGGTAGATGCAGAAAGTATGGCTCCTTCCCTTTTTGTCCTATTGAGTAAGTAGGTCCCTGCTGCTGATGTTGGTCCACATGTCATTTGTGTGTCTCCTTTGCTTTTTTCCAGCTGTATTTTGTTTCCTTTTGGGCTTTCTGTGCATGTAGTACCCAGTCTGTAATTGTAGGGTAATCAGAGATAATAGGTAAAGTGGGATGTAGAACCCATAATTGGCAAAGAAGAGTGTTTGCAAGTTGAGACATATGTGGAGCTGTTATAGCCAAACTCAGCAAGTATAAGCTGGGGAGCCCAGTTGGCTTGATCATTTGTTTGTAGGTGGTATGTGGATGAGAACTGGGCATGGGCTCCCAGAAGATGCAGGACCTCATGCCAGACTTGGGAAACGAACTGGGGTCCATGGTCAGAGGTTGTGTGGTCTGGAAGAACGTCATGAACAGCGTGTGTCTCCGGCAGCTGGTGGGGCACAGTGGCGGTGGGAGTGTGGCAGTGGGAGCACAGTGGTGGTAGGTGGCAGAGCTCCAGTAGACGTTGCCGGCTCTGTCAGTGGCAGATGGGGAGGGGGTGGCAAACACCAACCAAGTGTCAGTGACCACCCACAGCCACTGCTGGCAGTGTCGGCGGTGGCCAGCAGGGATCATGGACCACCTGCAGACGCTGCCAGCAGTGTCAGTGGTGGGGTGGTGAGCAGTGAATGCCTGCAGGTACCACCGATGGTGTCAGCAGTGCCTTTTTGCAGGGGGCGCACCACCATGCTCAGAGGGTGCACATGCACCGGCACACACCCCCTATGCGTCGACCCTGAAGGACATGAAGGCAAATCACATAGTCCAACCATAATTGGGCTGTATCTTTAACTGAGGATGGACCCATGCATGGAATGGAGTAGGCCATTTTGGTCCATCACTCTCAGGATTGTGGAATACCTATCAGATTCAGGTATTTCTACAAGAACATCTAGGGAAACAATGGATCAGTCAGGGCAGAGGGAGTGGGGGGTGGACAGGAAGAAGCTGGAGGATCCAACAAGGTTTCCATATGGGTCTTTTAGTGCAGGTGCAAAGTTTGCAGGAGAGGATGAAGTCTTGGACTGTCTCATGTAGGCATGGCCACCAAAAAACTTGGGTGACCAGCTGATAGGTCTTTCCTGTTCCTGGATGGCCTGCTAACAGTGAGTCATGGCTTACCTGGAGTATGGTCAGTCTGGCCAGACCCGGAGACACATAGGGTATTTTTACATGTGCTCCGGGAGATGTGGGGGAGGAGGGGGGGCACACTTTAATTAGCAAGCAATGCTAATTAAAAGTGCCCGAGCATCACATGTATCAGTGTACCCCACACTAAAAAATGGTGGTGTGGAGCTTTGAACTAAAGTTCATCAAACAAGCTTTAGTTAAAAGCGCCCCACCACCATTTGTTGCCATGGGGATGCTGATAAATGTAATGCTCGGGTGCTTTTAATTAGCATAGCTCGCTCCATGCATGTGATGCTGGAGGCTGGTGGAGCCCATTTATTTCTGTGCTCCAGCAGGCTTGCTTAATCAAGTCTGCTCTGACACGCTAGATTTCAAGCGTGTTAGAACCAGATCCCTCCACATCTATAGCTGCCCATAGATGCTATCTTGAGTGAATGTGACCCCACCCATACCTGGTGGGGCTATCAGAAGAAAGCAGCCTGCCCCTTGAAGGAACTTCTTCTTGGGTGGCAGCTTGAAACAGGGTCAGCAAGTCTATGGGTTGTGTGGAGCTGATGAACTTATGCAGCTTTAGAATAGGGCTGGGTTCCATTGGCACCTGCATGGGAAGATGCTCCATATTCCAATATGAAGCATCCGTTTTTCCTTTTCTGCCCTGGTTTGGTACAATATTAAAAAAAAAAATCCATCCAGCACATGTGCCTCTGAGAGCTTTTGACTTACAGAAATATTCTAAATTATTGTCATCTATGAGGACCTGTATCTTGTGCTGTACTCCTTCAAGGTAGTGCTGGCATTCCCTGAAGGCTATGCAGATGGCCAGGAGTTCCTGATCCAGTATCTCATAATACTGTTCTGCTTGGATAAGTTTTCTGAGGAAGAAATCACAGCTTTTCACTCATCCCTATTGTGGATTTGCACCAGACTATAGGCTCCCTGAAAATCAAATTTAGTGAATTTACGAGCTGTTTTGAGCTGATCAAGCAGCTCTGGGATGGGAGATAGAGTGTGCCAATTACAGATAGTAATCTGGTTCAGTGCCCAATAAATCGATGCATAGATGGAGATTCCCATCCCTTTAAAACAAAACAAAACAAAACAAAACAAAACAAAACAAAACAGAATGGGGGCTCCTGCAGGTGAAGTGGACCTATGTATAAAGCTCTGAGCCAGGTTATCTTCCAGGTACTTGCAGAGGGTGGAGATTTTGGACTCTGACATAACATAAATATGTCCCATAGGAATTTTCACTCCCAGCTGAAGGTCAATGGGACAATCATAATCATCATATGGATGAAGGAAGTCCATGTTTTGATTTGTGAAGATGTCCATGAATTTCTGGTATTTCCTAGGTAACTGGATTTTGGGAGATGGTGCCTATGAAGGGGCTGCAGCAGGCAGACCTCTGGCTTGAACTGCAGGGAGATCTGTCCCCCTGGCCTTCCAGCAGTGTAGTTGGCAGTAGTCTGAGTTCAAGTGGACCTCCTGGGCTTTCCACTTTATCAGGAGGTTGTGGTATGTGAGCCAGGGAAAAATGTAGATAAAATGTGGTTTGCAAAGGTTAGTCATTAAAACACGGTGAATGACAGGCATGTTTGAAAAAATTATGTACTATCCACAAATATCTTCGTATGGGAGTTAGAAATTTAGGCTTTTTATAGTTCCTAGCAGAGCACTCCCTCTCTATCCAAATGCCTTGCAGGTATGTTCTCTGAACAAGGCTACCTGGTCCCTCTTAAAGGGACAGGATACCCTGTTACAGGCCAGAAACTAAGGCACTCTCCCTACCAGAACATCATCCATCTCAATGCCACCTTCCCTCAGGCTTACTCACCTCCTCACCCCAGATGTCTCTCACAATTGGCTGCC